CTTAAACATATTTTATAACGAAATTTATATATCATGTTTATTCTATGTACATTTCGTGAAGTTTGGCTCATGTAATGTAATTTTTTATAAACTATATTTTTTTTTTGTATTTGAAGTTGTTCAGCTGGCATGATACTAAGTTTCCTTAAGATTTCAGTTTTCTTGATTCAGATCCAATTGGACTGTTTAAAGATGGCATGGTTCAGTACTGCAACATACAGCTGAATATGAAATGGTTTTATTGCTTAATTTGAGTACTTATGTAATTGTACTGGGGAAAAATAATATCGCTCCATACTGCAGCATTCAGCTGGTCATGGAATAGTTTAAACACTATATATATTACATCTATAAAACCTGCAAGTCATTTGTTTGTTTGTTTGAGAGCAAAGCCGCATTGGGCTATCTGCTCTGTCCATCGCTGAGAATAGAACCCCAAATTTTAGCGTTGTAAGTCCGTAGACGTACCGTTAAAAAACACGAGTATTCGATCTACATTGGAAGTCTTAAATACTTTTGTGTGAAACACTAAAGGTAATCATACATACATATATTGTATACTTTGAAGAGCGTAGGCTGTACATTACTGCTGATATGTAAAACATATTGCTAGTCATTGCCACTTATTCATGGGTATTAAGCTACAAAGTTTAAAAAATTCGGTTTATATTATATATCATAAGATAATTAGAAATTTCAGAGTAATAAATGCATTTTTGCGAATATTTTACTCTGTTTTTAGTTTAGTAAATTACACAAATTAATACACTTATTCTTTTGCATTTTTAGCAAGCAAAATATTGAAAATGCATAACTGCTATGTTAGATTTTACATCTACGTTCTTCAGGATAAGAGCATCTCTGTTGGATTACGTATGTCTATAAGTCATTCATTCATAGACAAATATTAATTCTCTCGTTAAATCACTCGAGGAAAAAAATATTGTTATCAAAGGAATAGAATATAATTTGTGCAGAAAATGTATATATCAAGTTTTAATACTTATAGTGATATGCAGTTGGAATTACAGCTCTAATGGATTAGAACAAAAGCCACTCAAATATTTGGAAACATTTATATCACAAGTAATTAATTTACTTATCCACCATATTTTTTTAGATATCAGAATTAGTAGTTAGTTTAAAGAATGAATTAAATGAAAACCAAAAAAAAAAACATTTTGCGTTATTGAAACGAAAGATCAAAAACAAAATTGTGTTAGCACGAATTGAAAGTCGCTTTGAAAGCTATATATTTTGCGCAGAAACTTTGTTCTTACAAACCGATGTTAAAGTAGTATTAGATGCTTCTTCAAGTTTTCTCTACAAATGCACATACAAGATGGTGAAATTTATGGCTATAAGAAACCAGATAATAGTAGCATAAAAATCTATGTACTTTATTGTTCTTTTTATGTTTTTCCTCATTGCATAATATTTTTATATTTGTTTTTATATAACTAAATATATCTATCTACTCGAAGTATGTTACAAGACTACATATCAGGACCCATGTAAGGCTGTTTATAATGTAGAAAATTGTTGAATTACTTTTTTTAGTAAGGTTATTAATCTCCTCTTTTTGTTTTTGATAATCTTCTGGGTTTTTCGATAAATGTTATGCTATCTCTGTATTATCACTTTTTTAGCATTGGATTGATACACTTTACACGTTCCTTTTCTTAGAACAACCTATTAGGAAAAAATAAACTGAACAATAAAATATACTGACCATGAGATCGCAATGGAAGGATCACATGACCGTCATCACGTGCCCATGACGTAACCATGATGTAATCTCTTAGGTAATTTGGAAAGTGGCACCTGAGGATTCCAGTATTTCCGCGTATAACATCTCTGTTGTAGACTTGAACTTCGAACTCCTGGTAGATGACTTAAAAATAAAATACTTCGGTTAGAATAATTATCTTTTTTCATGGTGTTTGAAAGCAACGCAAAGTAGACGAAAGCGATGAAGCTGGGATGTGTTAACTGTGTAACAGCAAGTAAATGTAGCAGTAAGTTACTCAAGACAGGTATTTAAAATAATAAATGTTTATATTTATCATACACAAAACAAAATCTATGGTTACAGAGTTTTCACAAAATTTTCTATAATTGGAACTTAAAAATAAAACAAAGTGGTGATAAGTTTCTGAAATAATTTGATTTCAAACACCAGTTTCATGAATACATATTCAGAAGGTGATAGGAAATTTGTAACAGTGTGGTCCTAATTTTTACATATTTCAAATGATGTAGCTAATATAATTCACTGAAGTTTTATGAAGACAGGATGAAATAAGGTGATAAGGCGAAGACCATTCGAAACTTCACCATGGCTGGAGCTATGTTTCGTTAATTAAGAAACAAAACACGAACTTGGTCAAACTGTTATTAAGGGTACATTAACAAATGAAACGTGTAAGCACTTTAGGAAATATTGTGGTTCGTATAAGTAAAATTGTACTCTAATTTCCTTTGACTTTTCATTGAAGACTCCAAGTGTTTGATATTGGAGAAATGAAACACTTAAAAACGAATAATTAAGGTTTGGCTAACAAAATATGGCAAAAGTTGAAGAAGGCTATTAATAACAGAACAATACTTGAAATTCGTAACATCTTGAAGTGCTAGTAAAATAAATCCATCTTTTAAACCAGCTTCATGTGAAATAGGAAGAGGATAAGCACGTCTTGAAACCATTGATATGTCAATATGTCTAGAAATAAATGAAGGCTTGCAATGTAAAATAAATGACTGTTAAAGGCTAATCAATTCGTAAAATAGTTACACAATAAAAAACTAATTAAAAATGCTTGCTTTATCGGAAGTTGGAATACGTAAAAGTGAATTATATTAGATTTATCTGTAAAATTGGAAAATTAATCAAATATATTCCTTCTACTTTAGTATTCAAAATGTACTCACTATGCCAAAATACTATTAAAATTAAAATATAATTTTTATATTTTCAATTATAATAAATAGGGAAATGAATAACTAAAATAGTTTGACACAATTACCATACAGGGTTATCATACCATTAAAATGTCGTTAGCAAAAGTAGTCAGAAGTAGCCTTTTTTTTTCATAGGAATATATGTCTGTTTGAATCATGCGGATGAACTAGTAACGAGGCATTTATTGATTTGAAATTCACTTTAGCCTGCCGAAAACGTTTTCTCCCAAATTCTAGTCGAGAATATGTTGATATAAATTTAGGTTTTCATGAAATAACCTTTCTATTTTTTATGTTTGCAGAATACAACTACTTTGTTTAAATTTTAACTTTAAGGTTTATTTTTTAAAACATCCTTTTCCGCAAATCCTTGAACTAGCAAATTCGTCGTAGTGAATTCAAATGGAATTGTGTGAGTATCAACATTTCTGAAGTTAACATTTATTTCATAAATATTTATAAAAAGTTAACATTGAGTTTGTTCTTTAAAGTTAAAACATACAAATAATTAACGACTTTATGCCCAAGGAACCGGAATCTTACTTTTATAGATTACAAAAGTAGTTCATGCTCTGCTGTATAGACTAAGATGACTTTGAATATAAAACTGGATTATCCTAAGATGGGTTTTCATTACACTAAAATAAAATAAACAAGAATGGTAGCTTACGTTTTAACGAATCTTGAATAATGTTACTAAAACATCACTCATGCCCAAAGAGATCTTCAGCTACCAGTAACGTTTGTGTGCATGCCCAAAAAGAACGTTTTAATTCAAAGAGCTTTTGCAAGTGTATGCTAAGTAATCTCTAGACAAAATCACCAACAATACTCCAAAGCGAAAAAAATATACAACGCAATGCTCCTCTGTTTGAGCCTTTTTCAACGTCCTAGTTGCTAATGGAAAAGAAATGCAGAAGCCTTTATTAAGTCATCACCATCTTTCCAGAGATAGCTGGAAATTTATCACTATCTTGAATAAAATATGGTTTATCTGAGCAAAGCTGCGTTGCTTTTGTTGTGAAAAGATAATATCTTAACACTCTTTATGCTAATAACGATTTTGAAAAGCATTTCTTGGCTGTTATAAGAATTAGTTTAATGGTTTCAAATAAAGTGAGTTGATTCAGTTATTAAGGTCTGAATACACAAAACATTACATGAAATGGACGTAATAAAGATCGTTTGTAAAACGCTAACTACATATTTTTATACTTAAAGTGATCTTACCAATTATTTATATTTACAAGTTTTATCAAGCTGCACCTGTAAGTGTTTGTTATTCATGTTACAAATCAATGTCACCCACCGCTACTATCAAATTAATGTGTTAAACCATTTGTTCCACAAAGACATTCCTATCTTATTTGTCAATATACTTAATTACTAAATCAGTGTTCGATAGGATCCTTAGTTATACGACGAAATGTATGCCTGAAAAAAACTAGAGTAATACTATTTGCAAACATGGTTATCAAATCATTCTATACATTATCATTATATTAAGAGCATAGTTATACCTTTGAATATCTAAAACCCCGTGTATAATAGACGATCACTATGATTAATAAACCTTGTAAAGCCTCCATCTTACAATTCTCAAGCTAACTCTCAAGTTACTGGAAGGCTGCGCATACGCATCTTACATGATAAGACCTATGGGTAATAATACAAGAAACGTAAATTCTATTACCTCCCATCGGCAAGAAAGCCGACATTATGATTACCTGAGAGCATATATCTGAGCAATGTACCATAGAGAACGATAAATACTCAGATTCTACCCGATGGATTTCATCATTCCCTCAAGTTGGGCGACCGACCGATCCATAAAGAATAAATAAAATATCAGAATTCTAAGAACTGAAGCTAATCACTAAGTGATAAACTACTTCATTATCCACACACATAGCGGATGTTTGCTACTGAGAAGTTTTGATGAAATAATACGAGATCCATGATATTTAGCAAAGTAATTCCACCATTTTTGGTCGAGTAACAATCAAATTTAATTTATTTCCATGGAGACTCATTACATTTTGTGTTATCAAAACACTGATCACAAGCAAGCAATGATGAAGTTTGCCATAATAACATAAGCGAATAAACTGACTTCTGCGTAAATCATTTAAAAGCCAATCTATTATTTATATTTTACCAAGTGAAGAAGTGAAACGTCTTGGTTTATGGTATATTTTCGGTTACCCGAGGGAAGTTGAAGCTTTTACAGTTGCTAATCCCTATGTAATAAACGACAATGTTGCAGACTAATTTGATCCAGTGATTTGGTTAGAAAAAATTAAAGAACGTTAAGTACTTAAGAACGTATGTTAATGTTTCGGTGAATTGGGCAAACTTTTGTATAAAATAATAACACATTATTTATCAGTTATTAAGTGTGACAAGATCTTTGTATTAGTGTTACTTACGAAGATGAACTTTCATCTGTTTGAATGTAACAAATAGTATTTTAATTTAGTTTTGATAATTATATAATTACAACAAAAACCGCATATGAGCTGTAAAGTGTTTTTCCAATGTTTTTTATTACTTAGTCATTTACTAGAAGCATGTATGGAAACGTAGTTAGTTTGATGATAGAGAGAAAGAAAGTACAGCGTGCTAAAAAAAAGAGGCATAGAAATAGATAGAAAGTCGGAGAGGATTGTGTCCTGTTATTGATATTGAAAAACAGTTTGTTTACTTAGTTTTCGCTTAATAAATTAGCACAAGGAATACTAGAAAATTAAATTCATTATACTTAATAGTCATTGATTTTACGATTACAAGTTTGTTTATGGAATCCAGTGATAGAATAAGACATAAATGAACAATATGAAATCGATATTTAGGAACAAAGCACGAAGAGATTTACTAAAATTATGCTAATATCTACTCTCAGTTTACATGTAATATACGGCGGCAAGAGTGAAAAAGCACATCTAAGATATTGTTTACATTCCTGGTCACATGACACTCATTAAGTTGTCTGATAAGTAATTATTATGGTACATTACCTCTAGATGCTCACTTAACTGCTTCACGTTCAGCTTACATTATCGTTAGCTTAAAGATAATTGTGTTATGCCTAAAAGTGGTATTTGTATTTAATAATCACATTAGATCTAATGCTTCCCGAAGCTGATTGTTATCATGATATATCACCCCATTTCCTAAAAAGGTAACATTCAACGTAGTACTTTTCTGTTTAAATCTGCTATACTTCTAATCTTTTCGCCTATATTTAATTACATTTATTTGGTATAATTATGTAAAATGTGGAATGTGATAATAACCCTCTCAATACTGACAACTCTAATATAACAAGCTAATTATTTAAGGAAAAGCCCTATGAAGATCCAATACTTGACAATAATTACTACTTTGTCGATAACTATTGTTAAATAATTAGCTAATGAAAAAAAAATTTATCAACAAATTAGTTATATAATAGTCTTAATTTTAAACCCTTTGGGAGATCAAGAATAATTCATGGAAAATAAAGTTGACTAATGGTTTAATACTTGATTTCAGTTTGTTTCTTTTTTCGTAGAAACGAATCCTTGAGTTTAGGTAAACATTTTCGACCTGTACTCTGCTATATATATTGTTAGATTTCACCAACCTGAGCTCTCTTCAGACGACAATAATTAGGATATATTGAACTGCCGGGCTTTTAACGAAATCCTAGGCAAACGTCGAAAATAATTTTTTTGGGTTGCATTAACAAGAGCTTGTAGAGCAATCGAAGCTACTCAAGTTAGGAACCCATCACTATCTGGACTAACACAAGACCCAATTACAAGCAGATGATAAATACGCTTTAAAATAGAAGTTCCGAGGGATTAAGCGTAGAGCAGATGTCATCTTAATGAGTAATTTTTCTGCTGAATACTCTAGAAAATTGCGATAAATTGATTGTACACATGACAA